GCTTGAACCACCGATCTTGCAGTTCAAACCCACTTTGCAGACCAGTGCATTAACCCCCAGTACCACACCATGACTCCAAAGTGAAGATAAGAATTAGAATTTTAAGAACTTGTTTTTTGGGGCTTTTTTGTTTTTGTTTTTTTTAATAAGCCTGCTTTGCTTTGTGATTCAAAAGACACTCAGTACTTTGTTAGCCTAGAATGATTTCTCTGCTGCTCTCACTCATAACAATGGATTGGACATTTTGAATGAGTTAATGTTCTGTAGCAAATATGAACAAGAAATCTAGTCTCATTTGAAAAAAAAAAAAAAAAAAAAATGGTTAAGGGCATCCTGGAGAATCTTCCAGACTCTTAGTACATTGGTCTTTCAAGGACTGGATTTTCAGAAATGTTGTATTTTTGTTTTCACAGAATGTGTGAAACTGGTGAAGGGCTGTTTATCTTTCAAACACGAGATGGAGAGGCCATCTATCAGAAAGTCCACTCCGCTGCCTTGGCAATAGCGGAGCAACATGAGCGTCTGCTGCAGAGTGTGAAAAATTCTATGGTACGTTTGGAATGTCTACCTTAGGATGCAGTGCGTATCCCTGCAGAACACAGTCGGGGCAACCTTGTGCTGAACAAATGTGGTCAACATTTATTTGAGCAGATGGTTTATTTACTCAACAGTGGATTATTTGGAAAATGTCATCCTTGGAGTGCCAGCAGAGGTCAGTTGGTAAACCATAACCAACCATGCATTCCTGATTGTTTATCTGCTTTGTGATTCGATTATTGTGTGAGTCTGAAGCCGATCTCTATTAGAATTGGTTTGAATGTATATAGACAGCTCATCTCTAAGTACAGCTATTTGGATTATGTGTATGGAAGTATGTAATGTTTATATCGGAAGTTATTATTTTAAATGCTAACGACTACAAGCGAAACAGCAGCTATATGGACCAAAAGAGATATGTCTGCAGGCTGCATACTCCCCATGATTGATAAACCTGCATTCTTATCGATGTAAGATATCACCAGCACAATTAGACATGAACAGACCCGAACACTCTCTGTTCATCACCTTGTGTTGGGTTCTGTATATTGCAAAGTCACGAGTCCCGAGTTTCATGTTCAAGGAGAGTCAAATTCATGAAGACTGAAATAAAAGCACAAGAGTTAAGTGATGTAAATCATGCATTGTGGCTATAACTGCACGCATAAAACTGCACATATGGAAGGAAATACGCAAAATCAAACGGAGGAGTGTTGGCATGGTAAGATGAGAGCTGTTTAGAAATGTGTTACTCAAACATGTGCGGTGGTTGGATTTAAAGAAGGCAGGCGTGTGCCAGGAGTGTGATCAGTTTCATAGCAGCACCACGTTAGTCCCACGTGACTTGTGCATAAAGGGCTCTGGGGTTTTAGAGCAAACATCAGCTTTTTCTGGAAAGAAGCAGACAATAGGTAGTTTGAGCTGTGAGCTGACATAGCTCTGTGTCACCATTATTGAACTCTTTTATCACAGTGTAGAAGCAACCGTAGACAAATGGCTATCCAGTGGGTATGGCTGCGTGACAATGAAACTTTATTGGATAGGCACTAAAATTCAGATTTCATATCATTTTCAACTGCCATGAAATATTCTTCTTCCAGCCATTTGAAACTATGAAAGCCGTGTTTAAGCTCCCATGTTGTACCAAGAGCAGGATGAATTTGGCTCGAGGGTTGTAGTTTGCTAACCCTTATTTGAAAGGAGCTGGTGTTTGATGGGAGCTGGGATAATCTGAGATCCCTCAAGAAAGTAGGAAGAATGGGCTGGCAAACATAGGTACTGTTTTGCAGATGACAACGGTGGGTGTGCTCTGGAGGAACACCCTGGGGTGGGGGGTCTGTTAGGAGCTTATACTAGAGCACATTGGCACCACTGTGTTGTTGTTGTTAAGTGCCATCAAGTTGGTTCTGACTCATAGCGATCCTGTATAGGGTTTCTGAGGAGTGGCTGGTGGGTTGGAACTGCTAACCTTTTGCTTCAAACCAACCTTGTTTTCTAGTGCTGATCCTACAGGGCAATACTAAGACTACAATTGTTGTTGTTGTTAAGTGCCGCTGAGTCAATTCCGACCTATAGTGATCCTATAGGGTTTCCAAGGAGCAGCTGATGGGTTTGAACTGCTGACCTTGTGGTTCGCAATCCAATGCTTATCCTAGAGCGCCACACCAGAAGTCTGAGGGCTCCTGCAGGGTCAGATAATGCTCTGTTGCTTGACCTTTCCTGGACCATATAGGATGTTTCACAGTGTCCCTGGCCTCCACTCTAGATTCTGACTCAATGTGGCCTTACAGGACACAGTAGAACTGCCCACGGGATTTCCAAGGCCTTAAATCCTTACCAAAGCTCATGCCCTCATTTTATTCCTGGGGAGCGAGCAGTTGGTGGATTCAGACCATTGAGCTTTCAGTTATCAGCCTAGCACTTAACCCACTGCAGTACTAGGGCTATGGATCATGGGGTGGGCACAGATGAAGACAACTTATATCTCAATGCAGTCAAATTACATTTCGGATTTCTCCCTGCTCATGAAAACAGACTTAGTCCCAATATTAACTGAAACTTTGACCTTGGTGGAGGAGGACAAAGTCCCCAGTTCCAGTTTCCTCCTTAAAATTGGAAAGATAATAGTATTTACTCTAAAGTCTTCTTGTGAGGTTTAAGTGAGAAACTCACAGAAGGCCATGCAGAGCCCATCCTGTATTTTCATTCAGTGATAACTATTATTATTACTGTTACTAAGAACTGAACTGTCTGGCATTTGTATTGCTCTAAATAGTCCTGTGGTCTCGATGGATCCTAACAGTGGTGCCGCAGCCAATACTGGCTGGAATAGGGAGGTTATCTGATGCCTGTTTCCTTCTAGACCACATCATTTTATTTACTGATTCTTAAAAGAGCAAACCGAAAGACAACACTGAGAAGCAGTAAGATATGAGATAATTTGACAGTTCTTTACAGAATCAAAAGTAAAGTTGCTACTGAACCGAACAGTCATACTGTTGTTGTTAAGTGCCATCAAGTCGGTTCTGACCCACAGCGACCCTGTACAGGGTTTCCACAAAGCAACTTCTACTGAGTTTGAACCGCCAACCTTGTGATTAGCAGTCCAGTGCTTATCCGACAGAAAATGGAATTAAAAGAGAGTGTAGTTTTCCCTTGAACTCCATTTTCTCATGACCTTTGACGCCTTCTCATATTTATTAATTTCTTGTCTCAGAATGAATCTGTGTGTCATTGAAAAACTACAGACAACACACACACACACGAACAAAATAAGTTACCCACCAGCCTGCCATACAGGAAACCCATTCACATTTTTAGAATGTTTGTGTTTCCAATATCTTAATTGTGTGTCTTTAGAAAATGGTATGGTTTGGGATATATTGCTTGTAACCAGCTTTTTTAATACAAGATAATGTAACATTAACATATTTCCACACCATTGAGGAATTATCTACAGAATATTCTTTGTTTGTAGAGTATTACACTCTGTGGATGTTCCATGGATTTTTCTAAGATGCCTCAGCTCAATCTGTGCCCATAAATGATTATTAGTTTAAGATAAATTCTTGTATATTGATTCCTGCACCAAAGACTATGAACACTTTGAAGATCTGGATTTCTTTTCCGATACCAAACCAATTCCCATGGAGTTGCTTCAGATCCCTGGTGACCCCAGGTGTGTGAGACCCCCATGGGTAGAACTGTGCTTCAGAGGGTTTTCAAGACTGATTTCTCAAAAGTAGACCCTCAGGCCTTCCTTCCTTCCATGTTGCCTCTCAGTGAACTTTCTGCTCCAGCCTTCTAGTTAGCAGTCAGAGGACCACCAGGAACTCCTTTCTAAGTAGCCTTCCAGAAAGATTTCTTAAACTAATGTAACTTTAGAATGCATTTTCCCATATACTCATCATTTCTGGAGGTTGCAATATTGACTTATATAGAGATATATAGATGGTGGTGGTGGTTGTATGTCGTAGAGTTGGTTCCCGACTCATAGCTACCCTGTGTGGGATTTCCAAGGCTGGGAGCAGAAAGCTTTATCTTTCTATCGTGGAACAGCTGGTAGTTTCGAACTGCTGACCTTGAGGTTAGCAGTCCGACTCATAACCACTACGCTACCATAGCGATAGGTAGGTAAATGGTGGATAATCGTGAAATAGAATTCATATCACTTAAAACATGCAATGTCATTACATTAGAGTTGGGTGGCTTGCCCAGCAGATGCCTTTACAAAGCTGAAGAAGTTTTCCCGAGATGACCTCATTTGTAAAGCCATCAATTGGCATCAATTTTTTATGCTTAAGAAAGTTGGTCCTGTGAGCACATGTGTTTCCGTTTACAACCGTCTCCTTCTTTCTGCTAAAAATTAATCGGGTATATGAGCAATTTGTTCAGATCATCCCTTTGCAAATTCAAATGGAAAACCATGTCGTTGGCTCTTAATTTGTTGTATGCTTAACGAGTTCTATAAAACTAATGTGATTTTATAGCAACTGCATCCTGTTTTAGATGGAAACGAGTAAGCTTCCGAATGAGGTCTGAATATCAAGGAGGTGAAACTGGGGAATGTGAAGAGCTTAAAATCAATGCACTTTAATCAATCCCAGATTAGTGGGGAAAAGAGACGCCGTGTTAAAATAAAGCAAACGAAGACAGCACTGCTGAGTCGTGGTCCCCTGGTGACTCTCGAGTTTTCTGAGAGTTGGGAATGGAGTGCCACAGATCTGGCTTTGTTCCTCCACTCAGCCTTGCCAGTTGTCCTGCTGGCTTACTTTTTTGAGATGGCCAAGGTCACCTTTGGAGAAACATGGTGAATCCAATGTCTGATCTTAGCCTCATTATTGGGAAACCTGGACTGTTATCCAAAAGGTCTGTGGATCAAATCCACCAGCCGCTCCTCGGAAACCCTATACAGGATCACTAAGAGTCAGTACTGACCTCACACACAGCACTTAGTAACAACAACAGCAACGTGCTGTTGAAGGAGCCCTCATGGCATAGTGTTTCAGCACTTGGCTGGTAACTGAAAGGTCAGTGGTTCAAACCCACCAGACACTCTGAGGGAGACAAGATCTGGATGTCTACTCCTATAAAGATTACAGCCTTGGGAACCTGAGGGGACAGTTCTATTGTGTCGTATTGTGTCGCTTTCAATGAGTCAGAATTGAGTCCAAGTTAATGAATTTTTAACCTATTGTTAGTGTTCCTGGTGAGTGCTAACTGAAATGTTAGAGTCCACCCAGATGCATGTCGTAAGAAAGATCTGGTGACCCACTTTCGAAAACTCCTCCATTGAAAACCCCATGGAGCACAGGTCTACTCTGACACACATGGGTAACTATGAGTTGGAATCAACTTGAGAGCACCTTGTTTTGATTTTGCCTATGAAAACTTTCCTAGGTAAAAGGATTTTGATAATACTGTAATTTGCTCTTGTTTTAAGTGCCGTCGAATTGGTTCCAACTCATAGCAACCCTGTATAGGGTTTCTGAGGAGCTGATGGTGGATTTGAC